GTTCAACTATGAATTGTTGCCACATAAAATTGTTCTGTTTTGTCTTTAAAACATTGAAAAAAAATTGAATCCGAATTATCAAAATTATTTAAAAAATAAGAAAAATTTCAATTACCACGAAAATTGAGAAAAGTTGAGAAAAAATGGAAAATGGAGAAAAACCGAAATATTGCGAAAAAACGGAAAATTGGGAAGAACGGAGGAATATGGAAAAAAGGAAGATGAGAAAAATTCAGAAGTTCCAAAATTCGTAGATTCTGAAATTTCAAAATTCTGAAGTTCTGAAACTCTGATGTTTTCGAGCTCTGAAATTCAGAAACTCCCTCAAAAAAAATTGTACCCCCGAATCACAAGCGTTGTACCCCTAAATGAAATGAGTTGTACCCCAGAATCATTGGTAGTTTGTACCCCCGAATCGTTGTACCCCCGAATTTTTGTACCCACGAATTTTTTACCCCCGAATCATCAATTTTGTACCCCTAAATCAGTTGTACCCCCTTGTACCCCCGAATCATTGTACCCCCCGAATTTTTTGCCCTTTTTTTTGTATTCCCCCCCGCCACCATATTTCCAAACAATTCTGAAAAGTTCCCTTCCCCCGAATTGCACTTCCGTCCCTTTTTTCATTCCCATTTCATTTTCTTCTCCCAGATTGAAAACCTTCTTATTGTATCGCCGATTTACCCATCCCCGTCGTCAAAAATAAATGTTGCATCTGGTTTCTATCCCATCTCTGAAAGTTTTTTATAAGACGGTAGACATTGTAAACATGTAAAGTATAGGTTTTTATAGGTACCGTAGCATTCTCTAGTTCTGCAGAATAGATGACAAACGATGACGTACCACTTGTCTTCCTTCCTTCCCACTTACTACCAAAGGATTACTGTATGTGTGCAAGCAAATGCAGTAGATTAGCCAGCCAATCGCTATCATTTATCAAGCAAAAGGGATTTTTGACAGTGATAAGAAAAAAGGGGCAATTTTTTCGGTTTCGGGGTCTAAAAAAACGGAAATGCTGACTAATCCTGAAATTTAACCAAAACAACCGGAAAAATGGTTTTCGACTACCGGCTAAAAATATAGGTTCAAATCATATTTTGTGCAAAATTGCATACAATTTGCAACCGACCTCGAAAATTTCACGTTTGAAGAACTACAAAAAATGTTCAGTCCCTGTCGGGAATCCCGACCATCAAGTAACAAGAGAGCAATAAGATGGCCAGCCACAGCAGAAGAAAGGATGGATGACTTAACAATAATGGAAATGTGCAATCAGCGCCCCATGAATCAGTGCAAGGAAATAGCAGGAGGATTAAGGAGGAAGGAGAGGAAGCAGAAGAAAGAATGAAGTATATAAATGGTCGTTTGTCTCACATTTGCCTCTTTTATCATTTTTTCTCTTTGGATCAGCTCAACTGGTCCAGAGTGCGAATAAACTCCTGTTATTATTGAAACCCTTGTCTAAAGAACGAACCACCGTCCCAAAAGAACCCGGAGGCATAGCGCCTTTTAGTACCGATTTTTTCTAGGTAACCGACCAAAAAAAAAAAAACAAAGAACCCTTTTTCGTTTCATTAACCTGGATCCAAATAGAACTTTCAACCACATTTTTACATCAAAGCTCAAAGCCTAGTAATATATTTGGCTCTTTATGCCTCCATAACTCTCCGAAAACTCGATGAAAAACTTCAAAATTTTTCGAAATTTATATTAATGCAGAAGTTTTCGAACCCGCTCCTTCACACGTCTTTCCATGGGGATACTATCTGGGTACAACACCCTAAGACTGAATAATGTATTGGATTCAAGTCTGAGGAGAAAGCGATCCATTCTTATGCCTAGTTCAACTCCGGAAAATTGAGTTTGAACCACCCTTGGGTGTCTTTGGCACTCTTGAAAATGGAAAGAAAAAGCCCACTATTCATATATACCGTAAAACCTCTAATAGAACGACACCCGGTGGGTCGAGGGACACCTGAATCATGAATAAGCACTTCAAACTCTGGTGGCGAGAGAGGGAATCTTTACAATCACCAAATTCTGTCTGTGTGTCCGTTTGTTCCCGGTTCCACGACCCTAGCGAAGTCCCCGGTAGACCGAAAATTTTCCAATTTTCCCAGATGATTCGAAATAGCAGCGAGATGATGCCCGTCTATTTTTTGATTCCAAATTTT